CGGAGTAGAGTACTACTCTGTCATAAATAAGGATTGTTTGAATCATCTGTAGGAAAAATGGATGTATCTGGAGAATACGATAGTTATGTGAAAAAAGACACACAAGCTTAAATAGCATATGATTTCTCTTATATGAGAAACCCAAAGTCTAAATAAATTAGAGCAAAGTAACGGATAGATGGCAGATCTTTTGAGAAGGACCAGGGAGAGACGGAAGGGGAGGGAGAGGAGGCAGAGGAGAAGCAAACAAAATTAAAATGTGTTATGTGCATGTGACGACTTCTCATGGGGAATAGTCATTTCATACTGCAAATGTGTACTAATTAACACTGTAAAATTCAGTTAAAAGGGTAAGAGAAAACTATGAAAAGAAACGGAAAGATCAGAACAAAAGTACAAAATACCGTGAGAGAAAACAATCCAAATACAACAGCGATCACAAGCAATGTGAATGAACCAACCTCTGCAGGTAAAGACGAATGACAGACTGACAGTTTCAACAAAATGCCAGTATGTCTGTCTGTGAGGGATTTATCTAAAACAAAAGAAAGCTGAAAATAAAAGAGTGGAAAAATAAAATATGCCAAATATACACTGTAGTGGTACTTGTGTTCCCAACAGTCAAGAAGGAGCTTAAGATCAAAATCTCATTTTTTATTCAAGTCAAATACCAGCTGGTTGTTGGGTTCTCAGAGAGGAGAGGAAGGCCGGGTGCACAGAGACAGGCTCGCGGAAGAAAACAGTTGGAAAAATATCACCATACTATCGCCGTGTATAAACATATGCACTATATCCACAGGCATCTAGCTCAGCTAAATTTTCGTTTTGATTCTTTCACTTGCTTTTACATGTTTTATTCTTCCACTCTTTAATTTTCAACATTCTTTTGTTTTAGATAAATCTCTCATAAACAGAATACAGCTGCATTTTGCTCAGACTAACATACTGTTAGTCTGACAATCTGTATACATACTTTTACTTATACAAGGATTATCTTGTCTTCTTTGAACTTTGCACATTAAGTTTACAAATTTATTTATTGAGGTTGGAGTGGGCTCAGTTGTATAATAGAGTCTGAATTTGAAGCAAGTTGGGGGCTGCACATAATAAAATTATTAATGATTTGGCACTTTAGAAGAATACTGCATTGTCTAAGGAATATTTACCGTATATTGTTTTCATTCTGACTTTTCCAAGAACAGTAATAATAATTTGAACTGCAAAACGTAGGAACATACAAACTGAACCAAGCAAGGTACAGCCAGGTTACTAAAGCATTCACCTCTTCAGTGATCCAGTTTTAAAGTGGCTTTATTTAGACCATTTCCTTTATTAAAACCTGGCTGACTTGCTGTCAGATTACAGTGCCAAGTCTAAGAAGTTAAATACCATGGACAGCTGCTTTCCAGGCCAGTGACAGCCTAACCCGGAACAAATCAGCGGGATCCTAACAGCATGGCCAGACGCAAGGCAAATGGGCTGGATCCCTAAACCCAAATGATTCTCACCCTCTGTGATTCAACTTTATTCCTAACCTGCTACAGCCCAGTCATTTATAGGTAGAAAACAAGTCTCTGCTTAGTATAGATATTTCTAAACCCCAACCAAGGGTCTGCTTATTTCAAGCAAAATCCTTCACAATAAAATTCCAGGACAAAAAAGATTGTGGAGGTTTCCTTGGAGTTTCTGGTAAATATTCAGACTGTATTATTCACTATTAGGAATGAGGGATTATGAATATTATAATATGACAAATATTATATGCCTCTAAGGGTACAACAGCCTGCTCAACTCAATGATTCACTGGAGTAAATTCAACCTTCAAGGAATGCTTTGTAATTCTCAAATCTGAAATAACTGATCCTGATTCACTTTTCATTTAAGAACAGAACATGAAAGAAGGGAACCAGCACTTATCGAGCAATCCGCATTTGTCAAGGCCTATGGATGCTTAGCATCCACTGAAAAGTTCTCCAACCGTATGAAGGAGATGCTCCTCTTCCCATTTCCCAAGTCAGGACAGAGGCTCAGAGACTCTAAATGGCTTCTGTGAGGCTCCTGGACCTGCCACAGCTGGGCCTGAAGCCCTCTGCTCCCTGAGCCAAAGCCCTAGAGTTTCTCCACACATCACGGCCCCACAATTTGCTAGAAAATAGAACAACATCATTAAAGAAAGACTGATAACGATGTCTCAAAAACCACACACAGGGTGGCACATCCTGCTTGATGAACACACGGGCCCATTCACCTTCCCAAGTTTCACGTTGCCTCATGACGCAAATCAGCCATAACGCAACCAAATGAGGAGTTCAGCTTGTTTATAAAGGAAGCAGTTAAGAGATATCTTGTTGCCTACAGCCCAGCAGTTGTAATTCTGTCAGGAGACCCACCTGATAATTTATATGAGAACATCAATAACTGTTTTCTCTACTTTCTCAAACTCCCTGTAAAACGATGCTCTGTAAGATGATGAGGCAGCTTTGCACGAAAATATGCTCAGTATGACACTGTCCACAGTCTTGGACAGCACCTAGGGTCTCTTTCCCTAAGTATTATGATGTCACAGCACCGATTTCCATAGCAGAGGTGGGCTACATGGCCAGAAATCAACTCAGCACTGGAGGGCCACACAGCCACATCCAAGGACCCAACCCAGAATACTATGTTCGGGAGTGGAGAGCAAACTACCCTAAGATCTTGAAACCAGAAATATGAAAAAAGCTGTAATTTCTGAAGAAGAAATCCCAGCAAGATTCAAAAGTGAAATTGGCAAAGTGAAATTTCCTAAGACAAATCACATGTCATTATGCATTATTCCATCTAAAAACGTACGACTGTTCTGGCATTTAGGGGGACATCCAACAAGACATAGCTTTGTAAAAACACACACACAAGTCCATTTCCATTAGTTATTAGATGCCAAAAGAAATGATGATGACTAAATGGAATAAAGTACAACTAGCTGGTATTAAAAGATAAAAGAATACAATGAATAGTTTTGGGGGGAAATCAGAAATGGGAAAGAGAAAAAGAAAGTAAAACATGCTTTCTTTAAAAAGGTCATGATATTCGGAAATTCTATAAGTCTATGAAGCACAGCACAGACATGGATTTGAATGACAACTGTTAAAGAATGTCATTCTGAACCGCTGACTTATCAGACACCGGACGTGACAGTCATCTAACCAGTGGGAGGTGATCCTGCCAGGACTACTTTAATGAATGGTTTAGAACTGATTATATGGAGTCTGTAAACCACATTTAAAAAGTTATTTCCTAAATGTGCTCTCACCCCCACTAAAATCAGAATGCAAATCCTCCTGCAATTTTACATACCCCACTGCACTGCTCTGCAAGTTCCTTTCCTATAAATACTGCCAGCCTCACCTTCAGCCAAAGTGTGAGTCTAAGTTTACGAACTTCCACTGTAGTGTAATAAAAAAGTACAGTGTCTCAAAAAGTTCTTTTACTGATGATATGCCCAGGTTATTTATGTCACCAAATTACTTATTTGCCTCTAAAAATATGCCTCCTTTCCTTAATAGTAATTTATTATTCTGATTGGAATAAACCCAGACTATTCATCAATCCACTCTGGCTTGAGGAGAGGGTTTGAAGGACCATCCTCTGGCTACTGAGCCAAGACAAGGACTTTACCGATGGTCTTGTCCTCTGCCTAGAGGGGAGTGTATCCATCTGTCACATCTGTTTGATACAGATATTGCTAAATTATTTTTTAAACTATAGCTCCTAATAAACAACCATGTACTGAGAGTCAGAAAAAAATATAGTACAAAAACATGTCTTTTCTGCATGTAAAAAAACAGAAAGGTCACTTCTATATTATTTCTCTCTCTATATATATATATATATACTATTGTTTACTGCCACTGTTTCTATACCATGACTGCTAAAAATGACAGTTATCAAATTTGACTATAAAAGAATTATGTACACATGAAGTAATATCTTTCTTTATAGACAAAATCTCTCACACTACTCAAACAGATGTTTTTTATATACACAAGAATTTTCCCAGATAACAGCATGAAGTCTTATGTATAGACAACATTTGGACTTTCTGTTTAAAATCATATTCAAGGGTGATATTCAACTGTTAGGATATAAACCAGAACTACACTATGACAATACCAAAAATTTTATTGATGCTGCTTATCTATTATTTGTCAATTTACATTTTTGGAGATCGTTTTCTTCTAAGTTCTTTGTCAATCTGCTTCTCAACTAAGCAGTCGGATGGTCACTACTTTAATTAAAACTCCTTCATATTCTACTGTAAAAATATATTGGGTCACATTTCTTAAGATGAACAAAACCAGCCTCTATGAATAGAGGCAGGAGGCAGGGCTGGCTGTGACTCTTTACAGTGGACGTTAGTTAGATCCCGGTCAAGCGGTATGAAATATGATTTATAGATCAAGAAAAATATCAGTGGGGCTGAGGGTAGAGCTCAAGGGAGTGCTTGCCTTACAAGTGCAAGGTTGTGGTTCAAGCCCCATTGCTGCAAAATAAATAGAAAAAGAAGAAAATCCGTCATGGCCACACCTCTGGGCCCCAGCTGCTGATGGGGCAACTTTGAAGAGCTGGTCTTGACAACTGCCATGTGCCCGTTAAAAGGCGAAAGCCCTGCCACTGCTAGGAAGCACATCCTTCCCATGAAGGTCAAACTGCTCCCCAAATCAGGCAGCCTGGTTTCCCAAAAATAAAAAGGCAAATCAATACTGAGTCTGCTCTGGGATGCTTATGTAATCTATATGTACAAACGTTCTTATTCTGAAGCAAGGAGCTGGGGAACTTGACAGACATCTAGAAGAATGTCCCCGGATTATTTTGGTAATGCCGTGTTAGTCTGGCATCACAAAGCCACAGAACGCAATCTGCTGTCCACCATCACATTAAAAGAAGCTGCAGGTCTCACAAACACAGCAATTCGGAACCATGGTCAAGGAAAGCACCGAATAAAAACTATCTCCACCAACCTTTGGCTGAACTTCCGGCGCTGCCACCTTGACGACCTTATTGCGACTTAGCATCTGCTTCGCCCATCTTTCTACTTGAACATTGAATTTCATGAAAATCACGTAGCCAACATAGGCTGTCAGGAGAAGCATGCTTTCCCACCACATGATAACGTTATCCAGGAAAAATATAATAAGCATGATCAAGTCCACAATGTAGAAGGACACATCCCGAAAGAGTGGCCACCACGTCAGGTTTAAGATTTCTCTAGAGAACAGAGCACACATTCCAATAACAAAAAGGATGTTGAACACCGCGGAGCCTACAATTGTGCCTATGCCCACGTTGCTGTGAGCGATGAACACGCCTATGAGGGATGTGAAAAGTTCCGGGGCCGAGCCCCCCGCAGCCATGAAGGTGGCTCCAGCCACATCGTCAGAGATGCTGAGTTTTTCAGTGATGACAGTCAAAGAAGGAACAAAGAACTCATCACACACGATGGCCAAGGCTATGAACATGTAGATCATCCCTATGACATGGAGAATAATGGCACCTTTCCTTCGCTCTGCCAGGGAAAAGATATCTTTAGGGTAGTCTCCTTGGGCATGATCTGTGCTGTTCTCAGACTGGTCTTCCAGAGGAAGAGGTGGCTGTGAAGTATGATCCCAAATCTCATCGTTTAAATCTAAGAGAGTTCTCTGACGGTAACTGTGTGCTATGCCGGGGCTACTCACAACCCTGGCCTCTCCTGTGCTCTGTGTGTCCATCTCAGAAAAGGCACTGACTGAAAATGGAACAGTGCTAACGGCTACCAGGCCTAGGAAAAGGCCCAAGATCCGAATCAACTTCAGTTTCTTCCTGACATTGCGCTGTCTCCCGCGGCCAGGCAGGGATGCCTCGGAGCTCCCCTCCTCAAGGAGACAGGCGGTGGAGCTCTGGTGCAGCGCCATCCTGGGCATCGTGGTGGACGTGGTGGTCTTCAGAGTTCGGGCGCCAGTGGGTGCTCAGTCATACTCTTCTGGACTGTTCAGTTAAGGTGCCGTGGGGCACTTCCTCAGGCAGGGCTTCCTAGGGTCCAAGGGACGTTTTCATCATTGCTGCCGAAATAAAAGCAAAAACAAGAGTAGGGATCACAAAGTCATAGCTTCATGATATATAAACAGAGCTTCACAGATATGATGAAGTCCCGTCCTGCAGTCACCAGTAAGTTATGTAACTCCTCTCTGCCTGTTTCCTCGTTTTAAAAAGCAGGGGCAACTGTAGCTCCCACGCCCTGGCTGCTGTTATCTCCTTCCCCCCAGGGCTGGAGACGGCTACCAGGCAACTTCAGCCCCCTGCCACTTGGCTCGGCAGGCTCAGCCTCTCCAGCTCCAGCCTCAGCCCCACAGGGCTGTCGGGGTGACTTACAACGCACGCACGCAGCCCTCAGGAGAGGAGACCAGACAGCAGGCACTCAAAACTCCATAGGTCCAGACCCAAATCACACTGTGGAAACCCACGTTAGAGGCCAAATGGAGATGAGTATAGGTATAAAAATATACAGATGAACAGCAAGTCTGTTCACCTTAAATCCTGCAACAACATCTTCCAATGCTAAAAAGATACCACTCCTCTCAGACACGCGCTGTGCTTTCTTGCAGTCCAATGACATAATTCTCTACTGTGCATATACTTTTCTGACTCAGTCTCTCATTTGGAAAGGTTTGGGTTCCGGACACAAGGGTCTCCGGATGGTATCTTTCATGAAAAGTCAGATGCAGAAAAGCAGCCCCTTAAAAATTTAAGTTTGAAAAAAAAAAAATGTTCTGGTGACATGAACAATCTGTTTTCTTAAAACATCTACATGTTGTTTTCTGCTAATGCCTTAAAAACCGTTTAGTCTATTTAAAACAGCACAATCAAAAAAATCCCAGTGCAGTCAGATAACATGCAGCCTATGTCAAAAGCAATATGCAATTTTACTCTGTCCACAAAAATCTGCCTGGAACAACCCAACACTGACCCTTTCACGGGCTACACACCTAAAGCAGGGTTTTCATTCTTGATTCTGCAGAAAAATTGATAAAATAACCACACAGGATGCCTGATACAGCCCGGCTTCCTCTTTTTAACTATTCTTTAAAAACATTTCTTCCTATATCAGGGATTTCATTTTAGAGGCATGCACCGAGATCACCTCAGGTGTGAAATAAGCTAATTAAACACATGCCACTTAAAACCAGGGATTAGCTGGGCTGCGGAGCCAGAGCCGGAGTCCGAGTCATGGGGGCCGAACCCAGGCTTCTCCGGGCCGCGCGCTCAGGGCACCCACCTCCTGGCG